ACAAAGTAGTTCTCACATGTCTGGCATTGCATGTGACTTGTTGGAGCTGAAAATAAGTTTTCCACGTAAAGAGCAGCCTTCTCTAACAGAAATCCGGCCAAGTTCCGGCCGGATTGCTACAGTGACATTTTGGTGCACTTTTGTTCAATTTCCAGCTCTGCTCCAATTTTGCGTCAACTTCAACTGAATGTTTCTTGACGATAAAAGCTGATTTAGCTCTTGACCAAAACATAAACTTGTATCCCTTTGAGTAGCTTTCCAATGCATCAAGAATCACCTCATTTGGATCTGTGTAGGCTGAGAAATGACCGAAATACCCCTGATTGCTCACTGCCCTGTTTCAGCTTCGACTAATAGAAATTAGCTATTATAATTTGGCTTTTTGACCTGGAAAACCTTCAAACTGGATTCAGATGTCTTCACCAAAGTTGTAGATCTATCTCTTATCTTCAAATTGGTCACTTATCAAACTCCCCCACACTTAAATCATTGCTTGTCCTCAAGCAATCCACACATAATCAACCACAATGATTCAAGAGGTGAAACAATATATGCACTTTGTCAAATTTAATTCCTCAAGACTTGGACAATAATCATTATACAATTATTTAAATTACACTAAATACTTATAATATCAAGTAAAGGAAAGATAATTATGCCCTAAATTCAATAAGTTAAATTTAATCTCTTACCCGAACCTAATTTCACAAATAAGTAAATCACATAATCAATTTATAGCATTCCTCCTCCTATAATCATCCTTTTTTTTTATTTTACAACTAAGAGGGATTTATTCACACTAATTTTACTTAAATAGTGAAAATGCCTTTTTACGCGAAAATCGACACTTTTAGGTGAAGATCTCCGGTTACTCAATATTTCATTTATTTAAGTTGCTATGCATACTCTTAATTCAAATACCTTTTTACGCAAAAATTGACATTTGTAGATGCCAACCCCCAGTTACTCGGTACGAGAATCATTGGAGTAGAAGAAAAACTCTTATTCTCTTTTTTTATCTTTTTCTTTTCTTTTCTTTTCTTCTTTGTTCAAAAATAAAGACAATAAATAGATATTCCCTCTTAGAAAATATATAAGAATAATCAGAGGAAGAGTATAGTTTTTATTGACTATATCAATCACTTACAAAATTAAGTAAAGAGAAGAAATCTCATTCAAAATGCAAAATTATAGGCATAATTCTCCCTACTTTGCCGGATATACTTTCTAAACTGCAAAAATCCTAATTGCATAATAATCATTTCCAAGTTAAATGAGGATTTAATCTTTCAAAATACATATAACATTTCAACAAATGGAAGAATTAGACATTTAAAGTTGGAACACATTAGCCCTTTTTGAATAAAATTGCAAAAATTTGAAGAGTTTTTGGGCCATAATGAAATGTTAGAAAAGACTTTAGAAAAATTTTGACAGAGTTTGCCCTTAGAAATGAATGAAACTCCCTGTCAACAAACCCATTTTCAAGCAAATTATCCACATGGCAAGTATTTCAAACACAATTCCAACATTTCTAATCATTTAAATCCACAAAATATCATCACATGGCAAGTAAATGGAAGTCCAGTATTTTCCTCCCCCGCACTTAAACTTCGCATTGTTCTCAATGTGAGAAAAGGAAAATGAATAAAGAGTAAAAGAAAATACTGCTCATTTGAACTTGCGCAATCCGAATCCATGTCCACGTGATGAATTTCCAACCTTATTTAGGAAAGAATGGAGAGTTCAATTATTGCACTCTGAAAAAGACAAAATCAAAACAAATCAATTTCTTAAAAATAAATGTTGCAATCAACAAGAAGAAAACATGCAATTCAAGGAAAAAGGTAAAATGATCAAGCATGTGGAACCATACAATGTTTAAGGGATAAAAACATGAAATAAACTAATCTTTGCTAATCAAATATGTAGACACCAAATTTTTGGTGTAATTTCATTTACTGTTTATTTTTAGTTTTTTATTTGTCGTGTTAGTTTTATTCGATTTTTAGTTTTTAGTTTATAGTTTATAGTTTATTTTTTAAGTTTTTAGCATAGAATTTCTTGGAAAAAAAAAGAGAAAAAGGAAAAATGAATGAAAAAAAAAGAGAAAAAGGAAAATCATGAAAAAATGAAAAAAAAGAAAAATCATAAAGAAAAAGTAAAAAAAAAAGAAAGGCGTTCAAAATATATGTTGTAGTTGTTTCAGATTTAGTTTCATTATTTAAAAATGAAAAAATGATGAAAAATTGAAAAATGAAAAAAAAGGAAAAAGAAGAAAGGAAAAAGAGGAAAATCTTAGCTTTTTATCTTTTGGTTATTAATTTTATACATTTTATATAAGTTTAAGTTTGTTTGAATTATTATTTTGTTTTTATTGTTATTTATATTATACTTTAAAAAAAAAGGAAGCATGCAAGCTGCGTATTTTGGCAGCTTGCAAAGAAGAGTGGTACATGCCCATCGGATGGCCAAGATAAGAGGCTGAGAGGAGGTTGATTGCTGGCCATTGAGAGCAGGGTTTAGGAGGTTGGGGAATTGATATAAAAAGAAAAAAAAGCAGCAGCCGCAGGAGGAGTTGAGGGAGCTAACGGGAAGAAAAACTAAAAGCAAGAGAAAGCAAGGTTGAATTTGGGCAGTGGACGGCTGGAGGAGAAAACAGAGAAAGGGAGGGGCTGAAGTCTGAGAGGAAAAGGATTAGCGGCGAGAGTTTCTGGGCAGAAAAGAAAGGAAACAATAGAAAGATTTAGTAGTGGCTGAAGCCGAGAGCAAAAGGGAGAGGAGAAGAAAATGCAGAGGATTCCAGGGAGGATGGCGGCTAAGAAAATTGAGAGGAGAGATTAGGGAGTGACCGACTGAGAACAAAGTGAAAAGAGAGGGGGTTAGGTTTGAAAGCGTCAATAGAAAAACGGCAAAGGGAGCAACGGGAAGGGCCAGAAAAATTCCAGATTTTGCACTGCCTTCATCAAAGCCAGTTGCAGGTCCCTTCTGAATTCCGGTCTCCATTTTCCTCAAGACAAGATCTGTCAGGTAACCTCTTCTTTTCATCTTTCTCCTCTATACATACACAGAATTATATTTGGTTTCTGTCTTCATTTCCTGTTTCTGGTCGGCACTTTCATTCCCTGTTCCTATCCCTGTTCCTGCCGATTCCATGTTCCTGTTGACTCAGATTTTTGTGTCGATATGAATTAGGAGAAGAAAATGAAGTCTTGATGAATATGTGGGCTTTACTTTATCGTTTCAGTCTTTGTTCTCCATGTTGAAGTGATTATCAGTTTCTGGTTTGAGTTGGAAAGTTTGAAACTCACCTGAGCTTGATAAAACCGTGACTTTGAAACCATGTGAATCCAGTTTTTGCTCTCACTCGCATGCTTAGTGTCAAAACTTGATGATTTTTTTTAGAAGTCTGTCTAGAGGTTCCCTTTATCTCTGATGCGTCCGTGAAGTCAAGATTGCGGGAAAACGGCAACGAGCTCGAGTTTTAGCTCGTTGCAGCAGTCCCTTGTCGCATGGTTAGTTTCGAGTTTTACCAAAATTTTGCTATCTAGTGTCAATAAAATTGCCCTGTTGTCTTATGGATTGGTATGTCTTTCTTTTGTGCTGTTTCTTTTGGTAGTAATACATGTGAGTTGCATGTTTTTGTTGGGATGGGAACGGACATAATATATTGGCATGTAAGCAATGGATTTGGCATCCATGAAGAGTTTTTGAGTAAACTTTAGCAGGTCGTAGTTCATCCGTGTGTTTCCTCTTGCTGTTTTCCTTGCCTGTAACAACCCAGTCCACCAAGAGGCTTTCATTACCTACTTGATGATATAAATTGGGCAAAGGGTGTTGGGTTTGCATGTTTGGGGAAGCTGAAATGCTTGAACCATATGCGGATGCTTAATGAAAAAGTGAATTCCAGGTTGCTAAACCACTGTCACACGAATGTTTTGTCCAGATTTTACATGCTTTCGTGTCCAACTTTTGGTGTTTCAATCTACAAGTTTCATGATGCAAAAATAAGAAGAATGTGTGGTAGTTTGTTTGGATTTAATTGTGTTTGAAAAGCTGTTTTTTAATTTGTGGGGAAGTGCAAGAATTGCAGAGGCTTCAGCAACCAGAAATGCTGCAATGAAAGGAAACCAAATAGGAGGAAGCTCTAAGGCTTAGTGATCCTATCCTGGGGTTTCCTTTGCATGATTTGGATGTTAATTGCCAACGATTTTACTGTTTGGATTCAAAGTGTTTGATGTTCAGTCTAGAAAGTTTAATTGAAGCATATGTTTGAATCTGAAAGTGAAATGGCAGCAGGTCGGAACTGTGGAAAGTCTTTGTAGCTGCTGCATTTTTTGTATATTTTCCCTTGGCAGAAAACCTTGTCCGCACTTTTGTTTGCATAAAGATCTTTAGTGTTTCTGATTTTTGTCATTTCCTTGCATGCATGACAAGAACTTGAAGTTGGTTTTCGATTTGAGAGGTTAGTGAGTCTGCCAATGCGAGATAGCAGAAGTTTAGCATGAAAATTTGCAGAGAACCTTGCTGCATTTTTTGTTTTCCTTTTCCTTTCGGTCAACTCCAATTCTTTGCTTCAATCCTGCAACAAAATTTCATGTTTAGTTGATGATTGATAGTTAAAATCTTGGTTTGGTGAATTTGTTTGCATGATGAAATGGATGAAAGGTTGTAACTGAAATTTGCAGAAACCAGCAATGAGAAAGGAAGCATTCTGCGTGTTTTGCATGAAAATATTCTCAAAATTGCAGTCTAGTCCCTTGTTTCTTGGATAACTCAACTAGGGCCCAGTTAATTGAATAATTTCATCAATTTGGTCCTTGGTAGTTTTAATTTTACAACTTTATTGCATGTTTGTTTCAATTAATTACTATGCTTTGTTTCAATTGCAATTCAGTCATGACTTTAGGGGTTTTGTGACCAAGTGAGCTTGTGTTTGCTTATTTTCTTTAATTTTTCCAAATAAATTGGTACATTGACCATTTCTTTTATTTTGGAGGATAAATAAGTGATTTCATTCCGTTTAAGGCATCAACTCAAGGGAGGTATAACTTCTTTTATCTTTTTTTGTCTCTCTTATGTGAACCAACGTGCTACGTGAGAAATACATGTCTACTTTGCTTTCTTAGCCTTTCCTTAATTCCTTGCATTTATTTCATCTACTTTTACTTTTATTTAAGTTATTCTTTAATGGGGTATGTGTACACCTCTTGGCTTGTAATAGATAGGGCTTGGAGGAGCATTCAATGAAGACCTATCGAAGTCATGTGCCTAGCTAGCAAATGTAATAGTTAGGGCTTTAATTGCCTTATGTGTCTTGCATGCTTAGTTGCTACGTGTTAATTTGCTTTGTTAGGGCCTTGCATCTAGTCGAGCATGCTAAATGTTATGTGCTATGTGTTTATAAGTGTTTGGCATGTCTACTTGCTTTCCATAGCCTGAATGAATGTGATGGATGAATGTACGTTTCCACTAGTCCAACGCTAGTCGGAATTCATAGAATGAACTAGTCCAATGCTAGACCCTTAGGGACTTCCCCTCGTTAGTACATGTTTGCATATTCATTACATGTCATGCATTCTTTTTAGTTTTATCATTTTGCATGCCCCTCGAACCCCTTTTCCCTCCATTTTAGGATTTTTGCATTTCATGCTAGTTATAGGGTTCATTTGCTTGAGAGTCCCCTTAAATATGGGATATAGACGAGTGTGGCTTTTTCTAAACCTTAGCACGCTTGTATTCCCTCTATAAAAGGGCAAATTGAGTCACAATTTAGGTCCCCCCGTACCCAATATGCATGAATTCCCTAGGCTCATGCATTTTTAAATCCACTCTACCATTTTATACCCTCATCACACTTTCATTTTTCCTCCCATTTTGCACACGTGCACCTTTATATTTTCACTTGCACACGAGCACTTTTGTCACTACTTGCACACATGCACTCCATATTATCATTTCACATACTGCACCTTGCCCACTCACGTGCACACTCTCACTTACACATTATTGTCTTTTATTGCTTTTTCAAACTCATGCCCTCACATTACATACATGCATTCCATTCATTTGCATCCCACTCGCATTATTCATGACTCCTTCAAAGGATCGTTGTTGGGCTTCACAATTAATGTGATTGGCACCACTCAACCTTTGAAGAGAAATTTCCCCCAATACCCCTAGGTCTAGGGTTTGCATTCATGTAGTGCATCCAAATGTAATAAATTCTTTGGTTAAAACAAGAAAATCTTTGATTAAATCACGCAACTAGCCTTGGCTAGGTCGAAGGGGTGCCTTGGATTTTTATCCTTGCCTTCCCCTTTGTCAAATGTGACTCCCGAACCTTTTTCTTTGGTTTACGTGGACTAGGAGTCGTTTAAAAGGGGTTTCTTACTACTTTTTCCTATTTTTCTTTTAAAAATTCATTTTTTTGGTGATTTGGTACACCTTAACTCATTACCAAGTGGCGACTCCAATTTTTATTTCAAACCCTTTTTAAACTATAATTTTGGGTCAAATCGTCGCATTTTCAACCCCCCATTTAGACCCATTTTTTCTTCTAAATCACAATTCATTTTCCAATCACAAAAAAATACATTTTTCAACCATTTTATTTATTTATCAAAAATGGGGCGCGACAAAATATATGCACTAGTATCCAAAGAAAAGGGAAGCTAATTTCACAAAATAAACCCACCATCATAAACAAAGTAAGTTCCATTTATACAGTTTGTCATCAATGATCAAATTCCCTCAATTACAAAAGTAATCTCAAAATGGAGGCAAACACACCAAACCAAAATATAAATGACTTTTGTGAGAATTCATGAAATACAAAAAACTATTGAACCACAAAAATTGTAAGTGCATTTATGAATTTCATCAATTAACACCATCTTCAATTCAACTCTTCTTTTAGAATTATCTAAGAATTCAAGAAATCATTCAATCAAGCACCTTTTCATTCGTTAGGTAATCTAAATTCCTCACATGAATATCAAAAACTCCCACTAAGCTAATTAAAATGCTACATTTGGCTACTTAATATGCAACTTTGTTACCAAGCCAAATTAACATAAAACTAGCAATAATTCACCAAATAAATACAATAAATGCAAATCACAAAATTTATTTATCACTAACAATCACCAATAGCATCAACAAGCTCAAATAAATACACCTAACTTCACATATAAAATTTGCCTAAAAATAGAAAATATTCAATCATGGCAAAATTCAAATAACAAAGTTAGGTGAAGAATTGTTACCTCAAATTGGTTTGGTGATGTTAAGTGATGAATATGATGTGAAAACCCCAAGAAACTTACTCCACTTTGACCTCAATTGAGTGATTTCAAGAAGGTAGAACATTAACTAATGGTAAGCTTGAACCCACTTTAGAGTTGTTTTTGAAAGAATATGAACTATGAAATTCACTCTAGAGGATGGGAGAAAGTGATTTGGTGAAGGTCATTTGTAGATTAAATGGTGAAAAGTGGTGTTGTAGTGAGTGGTGTGTGTTTGAGGTGTTAGTGTGTGAGTTGGGTTGAAGAAGAAGGGAGAAAAATTGTGAGGAATCCATGAAACGGATTCATCTTACGCTGGTTACTGTTCATAATCCGGCCAGAAATTGGAGGGATTCGTGGAGGGATTGCTGGAGGGATTCTAGCCAGAATTTTTTTTTTTTTTACAATCCGGCCGGGTTCTGGCCAGTGAGCCCGAAAAAATTTTTCTTTCTCCCCTGACTATCCGGCCTTCAATCCGGCCAATATTTGGCCGGATTTATGGCCAGATTTGCTGCAGAAAAAGCTGTTTTCTGTAGTTTTTCCTCCAAATTTGCTTGGCCAATCTTTCGCATTCTACTAGTATCCACTTGCTTTCATATTCTTTAAATAAAATCCAAGTTTAGCATGATCATGCATGATTATAATTTTAACATGAAACACTTTAAATGCATGAAATGCAGCAATTGAACATGAAAACTCCCTTTTTGCCTCAATATAGACACTTTTGTCATTGAAATCATTTGCGTGAACCCTTGCCATTGCCACCTACAAAACACACAAAAACGCTGGTTAAACAACTAGAACTTACTAAAAATAAGAAATCGTTGGGTTGCCTCCCAACTAACACTTCTTTATAGTCATTAGCTTGACTATATCACGTCATTATTAAGGAGCTTTAGTTAACGAATAATCCACCATTTTTGGACGTGGTGGATCATTAAATGGTGACTTTATAGCAAAAGCCACATGATCTAATAATGTGAGAAATGAAAGTGACTTACCTATCCCAAGTGTTTCATAGATATTACCTTGAATATGCACCACTTGAGAATTCACCAAAGGAAATGCCATAAGAGTACCTTGGGTAGGAATATCTTTAAAACCTGTACTTTTTATACACTCCTTAAGAGGGATGAAAAATGAGTCATTAAAACTCACCTCTTGAGATTCAAAGTTAGCTCCAAAGACATTATTATGTGAAATGAACATTTTCTCATTGAAACACAAGTTAGAATCATCATTTTGATCAAAATGCAACCCATTTTCACATACAACATTCCCACCATTCATGCTAGGATCTTTTGGCAAATTATTAGAGGAAATAGCTTCCCATAATGCATTCAATTGCTGCATTCTACCAAAGTGAGAAGTTAATCCATCTGTTCTTTCCTCAATCCTATCAAAACGGTCAGAAGTTGCATTTGCTACCTTTTCAATTGCTGCATTCTACCAAAGTGAGAAGTTAATCCATCTGTTCTTTCCTCAATCCTATCAAAACGGTCAGAAGTTGCATTTGCTACCTTTTCAAATTGATTAGAAAAATTTTCTACAGCTAGCTCCCAAGATGCATTAGAATCATTAGCTAATAGTTCACTTCCTAATTCCCAAGGTAGAGGTGCATTAGCTAACTTCTCTATTGCCAACTCCCAAGATGATTTTGATTCATATTGGACACTTTCACGTTGGTAACCATAAGAATATGGATAATCACTATATGTACATTGATTATCCCAACCATAAGCAGAAGAATTACTCCAATTAGCACTATATCGATCAAAACAAGGATTGTAATGCTCTAATTCATCATAATAATCCACATTTTGTACTTGCATACATGTATTACTAGCATGATAACCTCCACACAAGTCACAAATCACATGATAAGAATTAAAAATATTAACATTACTCCCTTGCTCAATTTCATGCATAATTGTGTCCATTTGAACTTGTAGCATCATAACATCAAATTTAGCCTTTAAGCATCTTAAACCATCTTTAAAAGACATGCATTCAGTAAATTCCTGGTTACCTTTGTTGAAGAAGCTTGGCACTTGGTAACCATCCATTGCCAATCTTCCACTTCTCAAGCATTGTCCTCCAAATTAATCTATCCTCCTCATCACCTAAAATTGCTTTTAAACAACTTAAGAGCAAGATTAGTAAAAAGAATAGGTTATAAAACACATATACACAATAAACACTAAAATAACAGAAAATAAAATTCACACTATAACTACTAAAATGTCTAAACTAATAAAGTTGCTCTTCACACCGATATTGCCAAATCTTCCCCGGCAACGGCGCCAAAAACTTGATCGGGTTTTGCTATACGTACAAGTTAAAAAATCCGATTTACATTCGTTTCACTGCAAGTAGACAGGTCAACTAGTAGTTTAGGGTATATATCGGGTCGATCCCGTGAGGAAGATTGACCAATTACCTGCACTACTAAACCTTCTCTATTATTTAGACTATCAATGAATTATAAAAAGTAAAACCTACTGAACTTATGCAAGAAAATAACAAATGAAAGGTCCTTAGGTTGTGATATTCCTAACTACTCATGCAAGTGCTATATTTGGATCATTGAATACTACTATCTAGACTAGTTATGGTGTAATTTTCTTATACATATGAAACTTACTTTCGTAGTGAATCAACTATAATTATAACTAATCCATACCTATTCTCATGGTTATGAAATTAGCTACAAGCTCATTTTTTCAATGAAATTACATGAAATTAATCACTAAAACCATATAGGTGCACCTCTACTCTTGTGAGTGTACTTCGTATGTTTAGAACTTCTTGAACCAGTGTCAAATCTCAATTTTCATTGCAGAAACAACACCTTAGATAATCACAATTAGTGGTACCAGATTAATCATGATTTACAGGGCAAAAGCGTTAAATAACTTGCTCAAATCATAGCGATCAAATAACCAAATAATAAACACTAACAATCATAGAAAGTTCAACCAAACCCAAGGCATAAACTTTAAAGACACATATTGAATACAAAATCCAGAACTTGTATATTAACTAAACTTGGAATCAAGTACAAAAGATAAAGAGTTTGGAAGGAATGTAACCCTTGTCACATGAGTTCATCTCCTTGCCTTCTTCATCCTCCATCTTCATCTTTGCCTAGCTAATGAACAAGACTGGATGAACTATCTAAACAACTATCCTACACTAAGAAAAATGGAAGAGCTATATTTTTGCAGTCCAAGTTCTCTCGTATGATCCTCCTTGAATCTTGCAAGTTTTGGCTATATAAAGATGAAAGAAGTCAAGAAAATGAGGCCTACACCACCCTTTTACAGCTGCAAAGTAGTTCTCACATGTCTGGCATTGCATGTGACTTGTTGGAGGTAAAAATAATTTTTTCCCATAAAGAGCAGCCTTCTCTAACCACAATCCGGCCACAAATCCGGCCAAGTTTCGATCGGATTGCTACAGTGACATTTTGGTGCACTTTTGTTCAATTTCCAGCTCTGTTCCGATTTTGCGTCAACTTCAGCTGAATGTTTCTTGATGATAAAAGCTGATTTAACTCTTGACCAAAACACAAAACTTGTAGCTCTTTGAGTTAGTTTTCCAATGCATCAAGAATCACCTCATTTGGATCTGTGCAGGCTGAGAAATAACCGAAATACGCTTGATTGCTCACTATCCTATTTCAGCTTCGACCAATTGAAATTAGCTACTGTAATTCGGCTTTTTGACCTAGAAAACCTTCAAACTGGATTCAGATATTTTCACCAAAGTTGTAGATCTATCTCTTATCTTCAAATTGGTTTAAAAAGCATCTCAATCCGATCATTGTAGCTCAAGTTATAGCCAAAATACGAAAATGTGTTAAAACTGTCAAAATGCACAAAATCCAAGTAAAAAGCGATAAAAACCTCATTTAATTACTTAAAAGCATTTTTCACCAATTATAGCCAAAATAATTCATTTTCTTCCAGTAATATACCCAAAGTGACTAAAAATAATATAAAATGTCATACAATTATTACGTAAATTAGTCACTTATCAGTTAGAAAGCCAAAATTTCATTTATTAGTGATTTATCAAAGAAAATATTGGAGAAAAAGAATAACCAGGATATACAAGGTCTTTTCACAGATCTAAAACTGCTTTAATTTGTGAGAATTTAATTTAATGTTGTGGATCGTTAAACATAAAAAATTGATGGTAGTTAATTGCTGAAATGAAGTATTAGGGCATAAAATCCAATTAAAGATAATTGACGGGTGCAAAGTGCCATTGACCCTAAAATAGTTTATGCCATCCTGTTTCCTATATTCTTAGTAATTTGGGGGTTAAGATCCGTTCGCAAGACATTTTAGACCGCAGTGAGTTCCTCCCTCCATAATTCATCAAATGTAGTACTGGTAATGAGGTCCTTGATGTTGTTGATGGTTTGTTAACATCTCTTTCGGATAAAAGGATGAAATTGAAATAGGTCTCATCAAATAAACAAAAATTCGTTAGAAATATGATGATGTCATGAAATAACTTTGTATTCCTGAAAAAATTGATTTATAAATCCTTTATAAGATTTGTTTGTACATTAGATGAATCATTTTGTTGTTCATTAGTTATTAATGGAGCTATTCTATTCATAAATGAGTGTTTAATAGGGTACATATCTTTGATCTTGTATTACTTATATATAAAAGTATCCTAATATTTCTTGGAACAATCTTTAATCAATTGAAATAATAAGAAAATAGTTGTACCAAAAATGTGGATGGTATTGTGGAAACAGCATAAGCATAAGAAAATTTGCTCTCCATAATGCTAAATGTGCTGGAGTAAACTTTACCCGCTACCGAGATTCATTTATCTCCTTAGTTGTCCGGGTGGCTTAACCCTCTTTAATATTTTATGGACCAAATTGGGCGGTGCCAAGATTGAAAATAAAATCTGTCATCTAATCGAAAGCAGCTGCACTAGTAAACAAATTTCGGTGAATAGCTATGAAGGACTAAAAAGCTATCACTATTTCTTTTTTTTTTTATCCAAAAGTTGTCATTTTTTTTTTTATCAAAGGTCAACTTCTATATTTGTACAAAAGTTGTCATTTGTTGAATAGGCAAATATCTGATACTCTTGAAGATTGAGACTTACGTAGTAGCGTGTTGCTAGCAGCCGTAGAGATTTAATAGTTTCAAGGAAATGTATGAGTGTGTTTGGATAGATGAGATATTTAACACAATATTTCATTTGCATTATAAACATATTTTTCAATCTATTTTTTTATATTTTCAATTATATTTTTATCTCACATATATCATATCACAAACGTGCTATAGTAATTATTTCAAATAATACTTCAAGTAATACTTTAATAGTTCCACAATTTTTTGCCATTACCGCTATACTAGAATAACATGGATTATTGATGAAAGTTTCAAATGCTAAACAAAATGGACTTCACAAATTGGGCACTTTACCAACATTGTAATGTGACACGATTTTCAATTTCCTTTAAAATTAAATTTTGGCATTATACAATCACAAATGCTCTCAAGACTTGATCCTCAAATCCTATATTTTAAATTATATTTTTATCTCAAATACATTATATCACAAAAGTATTATAGCAATTATTCCAAATAATAATTCAAGTAATACTCTAATAGTTCCACAATTTTTTGCCATTACCGCTATAGTGGAATAACATGGATTATTGATGAAAGTTTCAAATGCTAAACAAAATGGACTTTACAAAATGGGCACTTTACCAACATTGTAATGTGACATGATTTTCAATTTCCTTTAAAATTAAATTTTGGCATTATATAATCACAAATGCTCTCAAGACTTGATCCTCAAATCCTATCTAACAATCCACAAGAGAAGAAGAAGAAAAGAACGGAAGAAGAAGAAGAAAGAAAAAGGAAAGAAAAATTAGAGTGAGTTGGGAATTTATTTTTTTGTTAGGACATGTTTTTTTTTTATTTCTTATTGGGTTTGGACTGGCTTTCATGTTTAGCCCAATATTTTCACTATATTTAAACTTTGTTCAATGGATTTTGCTTTTTTGTTTTTTTTATGGATTAGCCTGTGTTTTTCTTTTGGGTAAGAGTAGTCCGGCCCAATTGACAAAAAAAAAAAAAAAAAAATTATAGCTCAATTTTGCTTCTTCATATTTTGCCCAAATTAGAAATAATTTTTGCAATTTGGCCCCTAATCTTCTGACTAATTTTATTCTAGTCCAGAAATTTTAGATTTTTTATTTTGACCCTTAATTTAATTGCATTTTGACCCATAAACTTTATCTTTATTCAACTTTCACCTCTAATTTTTATAAAATTATATTTTGACCCCAAAAACTTTCTATTTTTTCAATTTGGTCTCTAATAGTTTTTTATTCCTTAATTAAAATTGTTCCCTTCCTTTAGTTGTTAATTATACTTCTCTTGCATGCATTTAAATTGTATTTTTGAGTATTTGAGTTTATTTATATTTTCTAACATAATAATGTGAATTTGGTACTTCTTTTTTATATATATTTTTTCAATTAAATTGGTGCCGTGATCTTTTTTTGATTTTGAGTATAAATAGGGCAACTTTACCTCATTTAATCACCACATCAAAAGGGAGGTATCCCTGTTATCTTTTAAATTTCAATTATATATTCTTTTGCGCTCATGTATATTTATATGTTTTTACATATTTTTGTTATTTGTTTATTTCAAATTTTTATTCAATTTTTTTATGTTTGTTTACTTAATTTTTATAATTATTTGGGGGGTACTTGAATGTCTCAGGATGTAATAGATAGGTAATATTTTTATTTATTTTTACAAAAATTGTAATATATGGAGAAATGTAATAGATAGGATAAATAGGTTTATTTTATTATATTTTCTCATTTTAGATTGCAGTTAGGTCCCTAAATATAATATATAAGATAGATAGATTTATTTTATTATATTTTCCCATTTTTACATTGTAGTTAGATCCCCCATTGTAATAGATAGCTTTTGTATGTTTATGTGTCTTACATGCTTATGTGTTTTATGCGCTTTTCTTAAGATTTTTGCATCTAGATCTTTTGCTTATGTGTTATGTGTTCTATATGCTCTTATGTGTTTACTTGTTTTAATTCATACTTTATTTATTTTATTATGTATTATGAACATGTAACATCACCACACTAGCTTAACGCTAGTTGTGGTTTTTCCTTTTGTTTCCTTACTGATGGGGTGTAATTTGTGGTAAATTTATAGGTATAAATTGCTAATTAACCATGTTATTTGAGCTTTATTTTGAGTAGAAACTATTTAATTTTACTCTTATATTGTTCTAATAGGTGAAAAGCTCAATTGGAGAGAGAATGGCTAAAACATGGTGCGAAAAAACACTGAAAGAGGGAAAAGAGAAAAATGACGAGGTGTTGATCAGAAACGGCTAAGAAAGAAAATGAATCAGTGTTTGTGAGGCCAATTTTGGTGCCGGTGTTTGCATCGGTCTTATCACTGGTATTGGTCTGATGAAGCGGAGGGCTAAAACCTGAAGGAACTCCGGCGCCGGTCTTATCCCTGGTGTTATCGCCCATCTTTATCGGGTCTTGCCGCACGCATTTGTTTTAAAATTGAAAGATACTTAATCCAAGGGGGATTCACTTGTAACCTTTTAAAAACTATAAATATGGGCTGTGTAGGACATTTTTAGGGGTGGAAAACATTAGTCTAGGTTAGTTTTAACATCTTTTCATAGATTATTCTGGAGAGATCAAGGTCAAATGAAAGCGAATCAATGGAGCGTGCAAGGAGAAGATTGGAGCAAGCAATTGAGAAGTTTTCTTACTTTGTTTCTTATCTTTGTAGCAACTCTTTGAATTCATAGTTTTAATTTCCAAATCATGTTGAACTAAATTGTTTCTAGGGTTAGGGTTTTTGTGAAGGAATTTGATTAATTCTTCTAGTTTAATCTCTTGCTTTTTCTATAATTTATCTATCTTGATTTAATTACATGTTTATGTTTGGCCACCATAAACATGCTCTTAGGGCTTGTATTGAATTGAGAAAGGAGATACAGCCGTGCACTAGATAGATAAATATACTTAACCTAATCACGAGAGTAAGTGAGGATTTGTTTGACGCACTTATATCACTAAAGTTCTTAAAGAGTTTAATTGAATACTTGCGATCTCGAGAGAGACATAGGATTTAATTAAACACACTTTAGATGTATCGAGAGATAATCTAAAATACAATTGTATGATACATTCATGGTTTATTAAGAAATTAACTGGATAATTGACTCAAATTTTGGATTAAAACCTGAAATCCTAGACTCACGTCTATTGTTTTCTCACCATTATTTTATTTAAATTGATTATTATTATTTTCTTGAATTTGAATTTTATTATTTTGTTAGAATAATTAAAGTAGAAAATTAACTCATCCTTGCAGGTTCGATCCTGAAATACTCTAGGTAAATTATTATTATGATCGATCCTGTACACTTGTAGGAAATTGTCGATCAAGATTTTGGCATCGTTGCCGAGGACGACGCTAAGTTTTTCAACTTTAGTTATTTTGTTATTTTGTCTTTTATTTTTATTTTTATTTCTTCACTTTTGTTTTTGTTTTTCTTGCTTAGGTACCTTGGTTTAAGATGACTTTGAACATTCCTAATAATCAAAATCCACTACCAGCTCCACCTGCTAGACTTCATTTGAGGGACATCCAACATCCTGTGATAGCAGCTTTCCCACATTGTATCCAACTAAGTGATAGGGCTAGGAATTACGAGCTCAAAACCTTTCATTTTAATATGCTTCCTACTTTTCACGGTCTATCTAATGAAGACCCACTATCTTTTATCCGAGAATTTTACTCTGTGGTTGAGACTTTTTCATTGAGTGGGATATCAGAAGATGATTTGCAGATGAGGTGTTTTCCCTACTGCCTCAAGGACCGTGCTAAATCTTGGCTGCTAAACTTACCTCAGGGATCTTTGAGAACTTGGGAAGATGTTTACAATATCTTTATGACCAAGTACTACTCTCCGCAGAAAACTATTGATCTAAGGAACAAAATTTGTGATACCCCAACTTTTAGGATTTTTCTTTGTTTAGTCTCAAAGAGGATATTACGATTTCTTTAGTTGATTTTTATTTTAAATCATTATTTTGTTTCAAAAGAAGATACTAAAGTTATTTCTTTGGGTTGAATTTAAAACCTTGTTTGTTTTAACAGACTAGAAACCCTAAAAGTCTAATAAAAACCCTAGTTTCACTTGTGACTGGCCGTTTCCTCAAATTTTTCATATTTCAACTGAAACCCTAAATTCAATTTATGGAATTGTAAAACCTCTCATGTTTTTCTTAAAAATACCCTTGTATTTGGAAATTAATAATTTAGAATAGCCTTACTACTTAATCACCCCACGATAGGTGCAAATGAACCTAGGAGGTAGGGTTTCACTTTTCGTTTCCAAGTTAAGAGCAAATTAGGGGTTTTGCATTTTTCCGTAGTATGATTATTCGATACGGAGTGAGAATCAAATTTGGTAGGAAAAAGTGACATTTGGATGAGGAAATATCATATGACTAGAAGTGATAATAATAAGTTAGTGATTATAAGCTAAAAACCCTAGTATACGCGATTTAAGAGAAAACGCGTCACACCGACGGGTATCGATCACTACCGATTGAACCCACCACTTGACCACCACTTTCTTACTACCACATATCCTTGATATTTTTGCAAAATATCCCCCCCTCATCCTCAGCCATGTGACTGAAATATGTGGCCCAAAATGCAAGGAAAAGAAAGAGAAATTTGGATGGCTTTGGTGGTGACAAGTGTCACTCACCTATGGTTTCTTGACAAACCTTTTGTCTTGTCTTCTTATATTCCATTTCAGCTCATTTTCCTTCATTTCTTTCTGTTTTGGTCGAGCTCAAGAGAGAGAGAGAAAGAGAGAGCAAGAGTTTCATCATTTCATCTTGATTTGCATCATCCAAGTGAGGAAACAAAATTCTAAACCGATTAATTTGTGAGTTGTGACTTTGGGAAGCTAGGGGAACCAAAAATTTCAAGAGGAGGTGGAGTATTACTCTTGCAAGCTTCTTTTATCGAGGTATAAGGTCTGACCATGGCTTTGGTTCTTTTATTTCTCGCTTAAGTTGTTATATACCTCATAGTTTGGTTAGATTAGTAGTTATCCAAGTTGTTGGGATGAATTTGAGGTGATGAATGTAAGTTAGGGTTTGATGATTTTCTGCCTAGACTTGCTGTATGGTTAATATATGTTGTATTTAAGCTTATATAAGTGGTTGTGGTGATGATTGGAGCAAGAAATCAAGAAAGGTTACATTGAATCCCAAAATTCCAGGTTTCCGGAAAATTTCAGCTCTATTCTGACCGGTTTTATTGCACCATGTTAGAGGCCGAATTAGGCTTGATATAAAACATGAAAATTGTAGAGTATGGTATTTTATAGGTTCCTACAAAATTTCAGCTCAATCGGAGCAACGTAGCTTGTGAAAAGACCAAAATACCCTCACTATTTTAGGATGTTTCCAGTGTTCCATTTTAGTCAGTTCATCCAGTTTATCATGTTTATTCACTAGGATCCGTACTAATTTAGCTATTTTCCAAAACATGGAAGTTTTAGTACCCTGCCTTAGCTTTTAAACGCCTCCAATAACACCTTAAACGGACCTTGGTAGCCTGAGATATGACCATTCTAGTGCAGTGCAGTTAATTAGCCGTATGTTGGAAGTTGGCTCTGTAATTTGGGAATTTGACCAGGTTACACTGGAAATTGGACTAAGGGATCTCCATGAACATTGTAGCCCTATGTCTTAGCTTCGAAACAGTATAAGTTGTACACCAATCCGATAAGCGTAGTATCAGTTGTGACATTTCCGCAAAAACCCATCAAATCTGTTTTGTTTAATATCATTTCCGCACTTGTTATTAACTTGAACTTTTGTCCTCGTATTGTCTTGAGTCTATTGGACGGCTATTGAAGTTAGATTGTTGTGTGTGTACTTTTGGGTTTGAATGAGAAAAATAATGAAGCCAAAATGGCTGAAAAATTAGGTAAACACAAAGGGCATGCTGCCCAAATTCACGTTCGAAGACTAGAGAGATACACTTGCAACTTGAGTAAGGGTTAAGAATGAATATCACTTGAACCCTCTAGGACTTTTGTAACTTTGGTTATCGATGGTTATACGTTAGAATCTAGCCGAACTTGTACCCTTAGGAAAAGCGGTAATAACCACTATAAACCCATTTTCCTTGCACTTTCGACTCAAGAGTTATTTCCAAGTATACATGTTACAAAAATTTTCAGTTTGAAAAGCGAGCAACCATTTTGTGACTATTCTTCAAGTGAATTTCAATTTCTTGATTCTTATTGAATGAAACGTCTAAGTTTTGAATCTTAGTCATGTTTCAAAATTCTCAAACTGAGTTTTATCGCAGATTTGGACTCCGAACCTGGAGTACAACCTGAAAGTGACCAGTAACGGCACTATATCTTTTGGTGAGTGCTTTCAAATATTGAATTGCACTTAATACTTGTATTTGATACGTGACCAATGTGATTACATGTTATATACGTGAAATATTAGGGCAAGAGTGTACTTTATCGCACTTGCCCTAATCAAATTTGCTATTGTTCCATGATTTCACTTGAAATGCTATACTTGCATACAAATTTCATCTTGTCTGGAATCCTAGAAACCCTGTGGCTAGTTAATCGAGTTGAACCGGCAAGGGCTTGGTCGATTAGATAACAAACCCTGGGTAACTAGTAATGTCGAGTGGAGTGTATCTCCTCGGCAAAACGGTATACTCGAGTATTACCACTTTCATTCATGTTTGGCGTTCGGGCCCGGTAAGGGGGTTGATCAGTGAACGGAGATTGGCGTTAAGTGGTGCTCTACTAGATTGGTTACTTACTTGAAGGTTGACGGAGTGTCAACTATTACCTGATCAAGCCCTGATAATGCGATGGGAATTTGGCTCTTGAGAGCCATCCGTATCCTTATACTTTGGAGTGATTATTATTTATTGAATTATCGTTTCTTCTGAAAACTTTTACACTCGCTCACTTGAGATTTGCTACTTGAAGTCGTATTGTTCAACTTTATGAACTTTTCATGCTCACTACTTTACTACGTGATACTTACATGTTTAAATAATGATCAATTGGTTATTTGGAACCTCATTGGGCTGTTAGCTCATTCCACGCCATTTGTTTTCCTTACAGGGGGTACGAGCGAGGCATGAGACATGTATAGACTAGCATAGCCTAGTTATTTTGAATTTTGAATATGTACTAACGCTAGTACCCGACTAGGGTTGATTGTACTCGAATTGTAATCACCTTGGAGACTTCTGGTGTGTAGAAGTTTTTTTTTATCTTTTATTTGAGTATCAATGTATATATTAAGTTGAAGTGGATGTGTTACTTATTGTCTATGGATGTATGCACATGATACGAGTGAGTGAGTCCTGGTGAGAGTTGAGCAGGCGGTCCACCGAGCCCTCTGGTTTGCCTTAGGGGGAGGTGGGGCCGTCACAAAATTTACTCCTTTACTCGAATGGAGGGAGAGCCCATTCACGAAGCTTGGGAACAGTATAAGTTGCTATTTGCTCAATGTCCTCATCACCAGTATCCATTGGCTCTACAAGTGCAATTTTTCTATGATGGCTTGACTTTCACGACTCAAAACATGGTAGATTCTGCAGTAAAAGGGTACATTGGTGATAAGACTCTGGAAGAATTGATTGCAATATTTGAGTTACTTGCTAGTAACTCTCAACAAAAGGCAAGTCGAGGTAAAAGAGTAAATGTCCATGAAGTGTCTACTTCTAAGGATTTGGATTCACAAGTGACCGAATTGAGTTGTCAAATGCATCAAATGCAATTGTTGCTAAAAAGCAAAACTCAATCTTTAGAGC